TGGCACATGCCTGTAATCACAGCTACTCGTGAGGCTGAGGCAGAAGAATCGCTTGAACCCAGGAGGTGGAGGTTTTGGTGAGATGAGATTATACCACTGCAGTCCATCCTGGGCGACAATAGTGAAACTCTGTATCGAAAAATAATCACCATCGTCACCATCATGTGGGTCTCAGTTCCTGCTCCTCCTCTAACTGTGGGACCTTGGACAAGCTGCTTAACCCTGGGCCCTCAGTCCCATCCCCCTGGACAGCTCCCAGCATAATCTCACTTCCCCCACCACTCTTTTTTCTTTTTTGAGATGGGGTCTCACTATGTTGTCCAGGCTGATCTGACTCTCCTGAGCTCAAGTGATCCTCCCACCTCAGCCTCCCAAAGTGCTGAGATTACAGGCATGAGCCACCCTGCCCAGCCCCAGCACTCCCTAGAGGCCAGGGCTCTGAGATTCAGAGAGGTTAAGTGATTTGCCCCAAATCACCAGCAATCTTATGGTCAAGAATTCTGGGAAGAAAAATCCCAAAGAGAGCACACCATGGACCAGCCCCACAGGACGGTGGGGGAACCGGGTGGCATAGAGAGACCAGGAGCAGGTCCAGGCCTGCAGGTTGGGGTGCCCTGCCCTCAGCAGGGGCACAGCTGCCCTCCTGGTCCCTCGGGCACAGGCCTCCTCTTGTTCCCGTAAATAATTAATTAGCCCCTGCCTGCTTGTTTGTTTAGCATGAGGAATGCTCCCCCACTGAGACGCATTTATTGCTGAATAAATTTAAATATCTAATCTTCCCTTCATGAATATTACAGCACCCTAAATAGCGGCCAACTCATCCTAAGCGCCTTGGCGGACGGCCTCACCGGAGCCTGGCTGCCTTCCGCCTCTGCTGGCTCTGAGGATGGCCTGGCTCCAGCCCCGCCTGCCCACTCCTGGTGCCCTCTTCTGCCCCAGGAATGCCCGGGGCCACAATCACTTGGCCCAGCCTTCCTTCCTTCCTCAGCATCCTTCCATGGGAGGCGCAGAGAGGCTGGGGGCTGAGTGCAGGACCTCGGAGGCTGGCAGGCCGGGGTTTCCCTGCGAAGCAGGGAGGCACCTGAGATGGGGCGGAGGGCCAGAGGCTATTCAGAGGCCAGGGCGGGGGCAGAAAGAGGCTCCTCAGGGCTCAGGAAAGGGCAGACAGGGCGCCGTCGACATCTGAGGAGCAGCTTGAGGAAGGAGACAGGGAAGGGCCCGCTGAATGGAGGAGCCGTCAGCTGTGGGGGCAGCCACACTGTCCAGAAAGACAGTGGTCTCAGAACACTGAGCAGCAAGAGGCCCCAGGCAGCCCCTCTGCTGGGAGGGGACGTGCCTCCCCAAGAGTGGGAACGGGCCATTCAAGCCAGTCGGTCAGAGTGCTTCAGGGTGAGGCCCTCTTAGGGTCCCAGAGGAAGCAGAGCCACCTAGGTTGAGAGCCCAGCCTTCCAGCTGCTGGGCAAGTTTCCCTCTCTGTGCCTCAGTTTCTTCTTCTATAAGCAGAAATACAATAGGACAGTGGATATAAATCACAGCGCAGGTGCTTACCCAACAAGAGGACTGAGAAAGGGCACGGGGTGGGGGTGAGTCATACCAACTACTTAGAAGGCTGAGCTGGGGCAACATAGCAAGAGCCTGTCTCAAAAAAAAAGCAGGCTCAGCTGGGCGCTGTGACTCACGTCTGTCATCCCAGCACTTTGGGAGGCCAAGGCAGGTGGATCACAAGGTCAAGAGATCGAGACCATCCTGGCCAACGTGGTGAAACCCCATCTGTACTAAAAATACAAAAATTAGCGGGGCATGGTGGTGGGTGCCTGTAATCCCAGCTACTTGAGAGGCTGAGGCAGGAGAATTGCTTGAACCCGGGAGGCAGAGGTTGCAGTGAGCCAAGATCACACCACTGCATTCCAGCCCAGTGACGGAGCAAGACTCTCTCCAAAAACAAAAAACAGGCTCATGCCTATAATCCCAGCACTTTGTGAGGCCAAGGCAGGTGGATCGTGTGAGACTAGCCTGACCAACATGGTAAAACCCTGTCTCTACCAAAAATACAAAAAATTAGCCAGGCGTGGTAGTGTGCACCTGTGATCCTAGCTCCTTGGGAGGCTGAGGCACAAGAATCACTTGAACCCGGGAGGCAGAGGTTACAGTGAGCCGAGATCACACCACTGCACTCCAGACTGGGCGTCAGAGAGAGACAGAGGGCTGACGTGAAGGTGCCGGATGAGGGAAGCTTAAAGGTAGAGGAGGGAGGAAGAGACTGCAGCGGGGAGGAGGGCCTCAGGGGCCATCTTGCAGTCAGGTGGAGGAAGGCTTCATTTGACCTGATGGAGAAACATCCCAGGAGGGCCCCGCCACCCGTCGGTTCTGTCTCCCCAGGAAAGACCCCAGGTCTTCTGCTGACTTGGGATGGAGGATGAGCTGGAGGCTGGGCTGGAGGCTTGTTTTGGTGGCTGAGGGACCTGAAGAGAGACTGAGGGCTGCTCAGCTCCCGGGAACTGGGAAGATCCCACCTTCCACCAGGCAGCCCCGGCGACCAGGGCTGCGGGTCTTTTCCAGCTGCCTTGGGGTGGCGTGGGAAGAGGAAAGAGGGAAGGAGGGCATCTCCGTTGGACGGGACATCAGGAGGCTTGAGTCTCTAGGACCCAGTAAGAGCCAGGACAGGCCTAGAGGGCAGAGCTAAGGGGGCTCTGGGAGTGTTTGTGTGGGAGGGGCCCTGTGGGCCCTGGCTAAGAACAGCAGGGTGGGGAATCCCCTCTGCACTTGCTGGGGAGAGAGAGGCCAGTGTGTAGACAGGGAGGGGCATGCAGGCAGGAGGGGCCAGGCTGCTCACTCGCTTGTTGGGATGAGGGTGGGCAGCCATGGGCCGATAATGACCTGTCTGTCATGTCTGCTTTAGGGGAGCCCCTCCCTGGGGCACCTGCAGAGCCACCACCTGGCTGGGCGGGCGCTGTTCTGGAATTGCTGGCAGTGAGACAGGGGGTGTCTGGCCTGAGCCTCTCCCAGCATGGATTCCAGCTCCCTCCACCTCCCTTGTGCCCCCAGGTCAGCCCCAAAGGCCTGGCTGCAGGCCCGTGGGCCACTTCCATAGGAAACATTAAATCCCTGAATACTGAGCTCCACTTCCGAAGGGCCCCCACAGCTGGCCAAGGTCGCCTGCAGGGCAGTTAGCACCCAGTGACAGCGAGCAGCTGGGTGCCAGGTGGTTGAGGCCATCAGGGCAGGGCTGGGAGGCTCCTAGGAGAGCCGGCTCAGACAGGCCCCTGCGCTCAACCCCACACTTCGTGAACACCCTGCGCACACCCCCTCCCATCATGCTGGTGTACACACACCCGAGCATGCCCACGCTGTCACACTGTTGTTAGTAACAGGATACACTCACATCACCTCCACTCGTGCCAAGTACTGCCTTAAGCACGATCCAAAGTTAACTCAATCCTTCCAACAGCCCAGTGAGCTCCAGGTGCTACTATCCCATCTTCCAGATGGAGCAACTGAGGCCCAGAGAGGTTAAACGATACGTGTGGGGTCTCACATCTGTGGCTGGCAGAGCCGGGATTTGAACTCAGACTGCCCATCTCCACAGCCAGCCATGGCTCCCCATTCGAACCCTCGCTGCCCATCTCCAGCCCGGACGCCCGCTCCTGGCCCACCCTTCTTGCTCCAGCTCAGCCTCCCTGCCGGCTGCAGCTGCCTTTCTCCCTGCATAGAAGAGAAGCGGGGGTCGGGATCCAGGCCTGAGCCATTCTCAGGGTTCCCCTAACCTCTCTGCCCACCTATCCCTGGGACGCTCTGGGAAATTGCCCGGTGCCAGCTCTAAGTAAAGTTGCAAAATGAGGCTTAATTGTGCCCCTGGGACACAAAAGAAAGGGGTGTGAGCCAGCTGGCATCTCTGGAGCTGTGCCGAGGCTGAGATGAGGAAGGAGGCGGAGCCTTGGTTTGTCCATCTGTAAAATGGGGAATGATGGTCTCTCTTGATGCCCGCCCTTGAGCACCAGGGAGCTGGTGCCTGAGGAGCTCCTGGCACGGGCCTAGGGTGCGATTAGAGCTGTCACAGATGGGCCGGGTCCTCCCGGCCAGCACGGGGTCTTTTCCTCTGTGGGAGGGTCGCTGTCCCAGTATTCCAGATGAGACAGTGGACGCCAGAGAGGGTAAGAGGCAGGATCTCGTAGCCGATGAGGGGCAAGCCCGGGCTGGACCCAGGCCTGCCTGAGGCGGTGCCTCACCTACGCGGTGCCCTGGCGAGGTTGGGCTGCTGGAGGGTTTCCTCCAAGCCTCCCGCTGCGCCCGGGTTGTTTATCTGGGCCCGGGTCCCCAGGGTCACTCGCGAGGCCCTGGAGCCGCCCTCGGATAAACAAGCCCAGGAGGGGCCGCAATTAAGCCGGATGCGCTAACGAGGAGGCTCATTAACCAGCAGGCTTTGCGCGGGGAGACCCGGGCCCCCAGCTCCGGATCTGATCACCTTGTAACAAGGTGGCCTCTGTTTCCTCCTCCGCAAAATGGGTCCTACGGTTTGCCCCCGTCCCGTGGGGCGCTGCCTGGGGAGGTGGTCCTTGGGATCCCACCAACGCCGAGGCCCGGGAGGAGGCAGTGACTGGTCGCAAGACAGGGCTAGAGAGGGGCGTCGGGGAGGACAGTGAAGCTTTCCCGTCACCCCGGCTTCAGCGGCAGTTCCTGCCTTGGCGGCCCCCGCCTCCCGGAGCCGCCCTGCCTGGGCCCTGGCGGGGAGGCCTGGAAGGAGCAGGGTGGGCCGGGCGCGCCCCCTGCTGGCCTCCCTGCGCCACTTCCCGCCAGGCCCAGGGCCGCCCCGCTGTGCGCCTCGGTTCACCCAGATAAACACTCTGGGTGGGGATGGGGGCAGCGGCCGAGGCCGCGGGGTTGGGGCGCGGCGCCGCGTGGGTCCTCGCACCGCCGAGGGGCTTCTCCGGACTGCCGGTGCTCAGTCCGGGGTCGCAGCCTTCTCGGCCAGGCCGGCTCAGCCCCACCCGCCCTCTCCGCAGTGGACGGTTGCATTCACCGGGCCGCCGGCGCCCTGCTCACCGACGAGTGCCGGACCCTGCAGAGCTGCGACACCGGCAAGGCCAAGATCACCTGCGGCTATCGGCTGCCCGCCAAATGTGAGTCCCCGAAGCGCCCCCAGCCGCGGGGCGCAGACAGGGCGCCTGTGTGTCACTGGGGCATCAGGATTGCGGCCCCCACAGGAGTGCTGGGGACCTTCTCAGAGGGCCCTTTTCAACCTTAAGGCTCAAGACCCGGCCCCCCGCCCCCGAACACCCAGAAAGCAGATAGGGGAGACCGTGCGTGGAGGCTGGGGAAGGAGCTGAAGGGCAACGCCTTTGCGCCCACACTCGCGCCTGAGTCTCAGGCCCATACGGATATGGGGAGCGGGCGCGAAGCGCCCAGAGTGTGCCGATCCAGGCTCGAGGGGGTCCCCAGGGGGGCCTTCGCCGAGGAGGCTCAGCGCCTGGGGAGAAAGGGGTTTCCTTATCCCTTCTGCCCGGGCCGGCAGGGGGAAGCGAGGGAGCTGAGGACGGCGTAGGTCCCGTCTGGTCTGACCCGGTCGCTCCCCGCAGACGTCATCCACACGGTGGGACCCATGACCTACGGAGAGCCCAGCGCCAGCCAGGCTGCCGAGCTCCGCAGCTGCTACCTGAGCAGCCTAGACCTGCTGCTGGAGCACCGGCTCCGCTCGGTGGTGAGGGGCGGTCCGCGGGGGAGGGCGGGAGGCGGGGCGCAGTGACAATGTCCCAAACCCTTCTCACCCCTCCCCACCCAGGCGTTCCCCTGCATCTCCACCGGCGTGTTTGGTGAGTGGGTTTGGACGAAGGGCAAGAGTCAGGGTTGGGCGGGACCTGCTGCTGGCGGGGGGCGGGGCCAGAGCCCAGGACTCACTCCTGCCCCACCGGCCACAGGCTACCCCAGTGAGGCGGCGGCCGAGGTCGTGCTGGCCACGCTGCGCGAGTGGCTGGAGCAGCACAAGGACAAGGTGGGGCCTGGGCCCGGGCGAGGGTGGGTTCCGCACCCCCACCAGTCTGACCAGCCCCAGTCATCGCCCAAGGAGTGAGGGTGCCCAGGGAGTCAGGGTGCAGAGCTCAGGGCCAGGCCCACCCCTTCCATCCCGGTTTCTCCTGCGCGAGGGCACCTGGTGGTGGCGAGATGGGATGAAGACACACAGCCCTGAGCCTCCGTGAAGGGTGCTGGGCCAGGCAGGTGAAAGCCTGCACCTGGTGGGCAGTGACAGGATCCTGGGGCCAGGCATGGTGGCCCGGCCCAGGCTGACCAGCCCCTGGCGCAGGTGGAGCGGCTGATCATCTGCGTGTTCCACGAGAAGGACGAGGACATCTACCGGAGCCGGCTTCCCCACTATTTCCCTGTGGGTGCGTACTAAGTACCCCGCACCGCCCCACCACCCACCCCGACCCCGGCCCCGGCCCACCCTGGGGGCGGGCTCTCACTGTCCTCTGCCTTCCAGCCTGAGGCTCCTGCAGCCCACCCTGACCGGGACTGGTAAGCAGGGCCTGGCACCATGCAGTGGCCCAGGCCCTAGACTAACCCGCCCACTAACACCGGCTCATCCCCAAGCAGGTCGGGAAACCATGGGGCAACCTGGGAGGTCGGGGACACCCACAGACACCTCTGACTCTGCTCTGCCCTCAGACCCGCCTTCCGGACCTCGCTCCCAGCTCTGAGAGGTCGCCAAAGCCTGCAGCCTGGCCACCCCCACTTTCCCTCTGCGCCCACCCGGAGGAGCCTAATAAAGATCACCCTGTGGCAGCTCCTATTGTCTGAGCTCTGACTGTGGGGAGGGAGGCAGCCCAGGTGTTGGATGGAGTCCCTGGCCAGATGCTTTTGCCGGCAAGAGCTCTGAGAGCCAGGTGGACGGCGGCACGTGTGGAAGGCGAAGGCGGCAGCAGCAGTTCACATTTATTGAGGGCCTGCCCCCAAGGAGCTCACAGCCTGGGGGGGCTGAGCCCCTGAATGTGCAGGGGGCAGGGAAGAAAACAAGTGAAGGCAAAAAGGCAGGCAATGCAGAGACACCGTGGCCCAAGCAGAGGGGGTGCAAGGCAGGCACAGGCAGGGGGCCTGGGGGCGAAGGGGAGGTGGAGAACCAGCAGCCCTGCCAAGACCTGAGGACTATGGGCCCCGCACAGGTTAGAAGGCTGCCCTCCCCCACCAGGCTGGCACTGCCAGGGGCACGGGCACCTGTGGGAGGCCCAGATCCTCCACCTGCCCTGAGCCAGGCCCAGCCTCACAAAGGCCCCTCCACCCTGGACTCCCAACCATGCAGACCCCTGATGGAGGGCAGGAAGCTGGGCTCTGGGGCCCTGGCTGGGGACAGCAGGGTGGAAGTGGGGCCTGTGAGGGAGCAGGTCAAGTCCGGGACCCTGGGCAAGTCCCCAAGGAACTTCCACAATCCCATATAAGCCCCTGAGCCAGCTAAGAAGGAAAGTGGGGCCTTAGGGAAGGAAGCGGAACCCAAGGAAGTAGGAGGGGCCTCCAAAAGGCCTGGCCCCTTAAACCTGCTCCTGTCGGGTAAGCTCGGGTGGATGGGTGAAAAGCAGGGGGACCCACCTGGGGGGGAGGGAGCAGCAGACAGAGCAGGCAGGCGGGCAGCAGAGCAGGGACACACACACACACACAGCTCACCACCAGCACCCCCTTTAATAAAACATGGGGGGGGTCATGTGACAGAAAGAAGGGGGTGAAATAGGACCATTTACAACCACACACACACACAAAAAAAAACCTCTGTACATGTCTAGCGCCTGGCAGAGGGGGCAGGCAGGGCAGCAGCAGGCCGGGAGCAGCCCTATTTGTAGAGGATATCGTAGTGTCCAGGCCGGTAGAGAAGGTAGACCTTGGGCTCGGAGCCCTCCGGGAAGATGTGCGGGTTGGTGGTGCCACCCTCGCCGCGGTCCATGTATTCCACCTGGATGGACACACTGAGGGCCTGGGCCAGTGCGATGATGTGGATGTGGTCGCTCTCCTTGCACATGGGCTCCACCTCCTGTGGCACAGGGGCGGGTCAGGCCCCGGTCTCCGCGCCGTACCCCGCCCCAGGCCCTGCGGACCCACTGCACTCCCCAGCCTGGTGCTTGGCCTGGTGCTCGCCACCCGGGGCCTGGCTGAGAGAAAAGGGGAGGGGGACGGCACCTGCTGGCAGAACTCCTTGACAGTCCGCCCACCCTCGATGAAGTGCTCGAAGAATTTGCTCTCGCGCTGCAGGTAGCCCGAGGTGAGCAGCCGCAGGTAGACCACAAGGTAGTCAGAGGTGCTCTGGTCATTGAAGGAGGCCAGCAGGTCAGCGACGGAGGTCTGCTTCTCCACCTGCTCGATCAGGTCCATGAACTGCAGCCACGGAGGGAGAAAGGGCAAGATGGCGGAGAAGATGGGTGGGTGGTCCCCATCACAGCCAGGTGAACCCCTCCACGCTGGCCCAGCCCAAGACAGGCCCCAGGGCTCACCGTGTTGTGGAAATCCTCAATTGTGAACTCAGTGAAGCCCTGGGACACCAGGTCCTCCTTGCTCTTGGCAGACACAGCCTTGAACCTGGGGGTGGGAGGGAAAGGCCGGCCCAGCATGGGCTCCTTGACCAGCCCAGATGCCAGGGCCCAGCCAGCACTGCCCCGCCTGGCAAGGCTAAAGCCCAGCCCATCGCCTGGCCCCAGGTGGAGCTGCACCTCCTACCCTCCCAGCCCACCTGCCTCTGTACCCCATGCCCACCCTTCTCACCGCTGCAATTCCTTGCTGTCATCCAGCAGCGCCTCCAAGTGGGAGAATCCGAAGGCCCGATAGAAACAGTTGCCATCAGGCCTGGTCTTCCGGATGTATGAGTACTTTTTGTGGAGGTCCTACAGAGACAGTCCCACCCCACCGGGTTAACAGAAGGCCAGGAAATGTCCCCAGCAAAGGTCACACTACAGAAGGTGGCAACTGAACTCAAAGCAGCCACCTGCCACCCTGGGCCCCTACAACAGGCTGCCGAATGTGGTAATGGGACTGACTTAGTGGCCCACTGCCCAGAGTCCCCCCAAAAAGCTGCAGGAAGCTGGGCACTTAAGGACAAACTAGTCGCATGGGTCACCAAAGTGCTGCAGGGCCTACAGGACTGTACAAAAACGGGAGTCAGCCTGTCCTCGGCCAATGAGTCTTTTCCACCCTTTCAGCCCACAGAACCTCAGGGCAAGCAAGTCAGGGCGGGGCGGAGTGCTGGGCTCCACACCTCGGCCAGGCAGCTGGGCCCTCTCCCCAACTCAGCTCAGCCCAGCCCAGCCCAGCCCAGCTCCTACCAGACTAACACTTCCCTCACCTCCAGGCCTTGCCCACAGCCCTCCTCTACTTTTTTTTTTTTTAAGATGGAGTCTTGCTCTGTTGCCCATGGGGACTGGAGTGCAGTGGTGCGATCTCTGCTCACTGCAACCTCTGCCTCCCCGGTTCAAACGATTCTCCTGCCTCAGCCTTCCAAGTAGCTGGGACTACAGGCATGTGCATCACCATGCCTGGCTAATTTTATATTTTTAGTAGAGACAGGGTTTCACCATGTGGATCAGGCTGGTCTCAAACTCCTGACCTCAGGTTATCCATCCACCTCAGCCTCTCAAAGCGCTGGGATTGCAGGCGTGAGCCACCATGCCTGTCCTCCCTTCTCACTTCTAAACCCTACCTGCCCACTCATAGGTGCCATCTCCATGCAGCCTTTTACAGGTTCCTCCCGAAATTAAAGGGAGTGTCTCCTGTCTCCTGTGCTTCCCACACTAGTAGGCTGGTAGTGCCGCCTGGCAAGCACACTTCACTCCCCTGGCCTGGGCACCCTTGCCTCTCCCCTACCCATCTTGCTCCCACCCCCAGCTGGTGACCTTGTCTGTTTTTCCTCAGCACGTCTGCCCTTAGCCTCCTCCCACAATCCTCAGAGGATCTGTTCCAGCTGCCACCTAAGCTGCCTCTCCCCTCCACACTAGCCCAACCTCACCTGGCTGGGTGCCATGGCTCATGCCTGTAATCCCAAAACTTTGGGAGGCAGGGTGGGAGAACTACTTAAGCCCAGGAGTTCGAGACCAGCCTGGGCAACACAGTGAGACCCCCCCCATCTCTCTAAAAAAAACAACTGGCCAGGCGCAGTGGCTCACACCTGTAATCCCAGCACATTGGGAGGCCAAGGCAGGTGGATCACCTGAGGTCAGGAGTTCAAGACCAGCTTGGCCAACACGGAAACCCCATCTCAACGAAAAATGCAAAATTAACTGGGCATGGTGGCACATGCCTGTAATCCCAGCTACTCGGGAAGCTAAGGAAGGAGAATCACTTGAACTCGGGAAGCAGAGGTTGCACTGAGCCAAGATTGCCCCATCGCAGTCCAGCCCGGGCAACAGAGCAAAACCCAGTCTCAGAAAAACAAATAAATAAACCTAAGTTAGCTGCACATGGTGGTGCATCCCTGTGGTCCCAGCTACTCAAGAGGCCGAAGTCGGAGGGCTGTGTGGGCCCAGGAGGTCAAGGCTGCAGTGAGCCGTGATGGCGCCACTGCCCCTCTAGCCTGGGAGACAGAGTGAGCGAGATGCTGTCTCCAAAAGTAAAAACTAAAGACATCATCCTAGTAAGTGCCCCCGTCGTCAGGTTTTCCCTCCCTACTGGTATAGGCCCAAAAGCAGATACACATTCAGCTACTTCTTTCAAAGGACGGGAATCCTGCACTTTCTTCCGTTTGTCTAGCTACCCCTCAATTTCTCTTTTCCTTTTTTTTTTTCCCCAGAGAGTCTCACTCTGTCACCCAGACTGGAGTGCAATGGCATGGTCTTGGCTCACTACAACCTCCACCTCCTGGGTTCAAGTGATTCTCCCGCCTCAGCCTCCTGAGTAGCGCGCCACCACACCCAGCTAATTTTTGTATTTTTAGTGAAGATGGGGTTTCACTATGTTGGCCAGGCTGGTCTGGAACTCCTGACCTCGTGATCCACCCACAAGTGCTGGGATTACAGGCGTGAGCCACCGTACCTGGCCGCTATCTCTGCTTTCTTAACAGTGGAACTTCTCATGAATCCATCCGTGCTGTCTCTACCTCCTTCCTCCCTCAGGAGGCTTTTGCTTTAGCCAATGTCAGCTGAACACCCTCAGTTAGAGGGGCAAACCCAGCCCCCAACGCCCCTGGCCACTTAGCGGCACTGAGGCCAATGACCACAGCCCTACCTGGATGCCTCCTGCCCTGGGCTGGTGCCCCCACCCTCTACTTGTCTTCTTCCTGCCTGAGGCCACTCCCCAGCTCTCTAAGCTCCAAGGGTCAAGGACACCACCAAACCATACAACAAGGTTGAATCCTTCAAGGCGTGGTGTGTCACCTGCAAGAAAACGGTCACTGCACACTCAGCCACTGTGCCTGCCATGTGACCACAGGTGCGAGTGTTGTCTCCCGTGTGCCGTCACCGCCCTGCTCAGGCCTGGGACAACTTCTACTTTTTTTGTCTTTTCTGAGACAGGGTCTCCTCTGTTACCTGGGCTGGAATACAGTAGCAAGATTAAGGCTCACTGCAGACTCAACCTCCCAGCCTCAAGTGATTCTCCCACCTCAGATTTCCGAGTAGCTGGAACTACAGGTCACACCACGCCCATTTAATTGTTGCACTTTTTGTAGAGATGGGGTTTCACCATATTGCCCAGGCTGGTCTTGAACTCCTGGGCTCAAGTAATCTGCCTGCCACAGCCTCCCAAAGTGCTGCACCTCCAGCTTCCTCGTTTAAACTGCACTCACTCACATGGCCAGGTACAGTGGCTCACGTTTGTAATCCCCGGGTTTCGGGAGGTCAAGGTGGGAGGATCAACTTCGAGGGCAGCCTGGGCAACATGACAAGACCTCATCTCTACAAAAACTTAAATTAGCTGGGTGCGGTGGCTCACGTCTGTAATCCCAGCACTTTGGGAGGCTGAGGCGGGTGGATCACAAGTTCAGGAGTTCAAGACCAGCCTGACCAACATGGTGAAATCCTGTCTCTACTAAAAATACAAAACTTAGCCAGGCAAGGTAGCATGTGCCTATAGTCCCAGCTACTCGGGAGGCTGAGACAGGCGGCTTAAACTCGGGAGGCGGAGGTTGCAGTGAGCCACGATTAAGCCACCCTGAGCAACAGCAGAGTGAGACTCTGTCTTTAAAAAAAAAAAAAAACTCTCTTAACAATGTTGGTCTCAAGGATTTTTTTTTTGAGAGTCTCACTCTGTCACCAGGCTGGAGTCCAATGGCATGATCTCAGTTCACTCCAACCTCTGCCTACCAGATTCATGCAATTCTCCTGCCTCAGCCTCCTGAGTAGCTGGGATTACAGGTGCCCACTACCACACCCGGCTAATTTTTAATTTTTTTAAAGATAGAGTTTCACCCTTGTTGCCCAGACTGGAGTGCAATGGCGCAATCTTGGCTCATTGCAACCTCCGCCTCCCAGGTTCAAGTGATTCTCCTGCCTCAGCCTCCTGAGTAGCAGGGACTATAGGCATGCACCACCCGGCTAATTTTGTATTTTTAGTAGAGATGGGGTTTCTCCATGGTGGTCAGGCTGGTCTCAAACTCCCAATCTCAGGTGATCCGCCTGCCTCAACCTCCTGAAGTACTGGGATTACAGGCATGAGCCACCGTGCCTGGCCCATTTTTCTGTATTTTTAGTAGAGACGGAGTTTCACCATGTTGACCAGGCTAGTCTCGAAATTCTGACCTCAAGTGATCCCTGCGCCTCAGCGTCCCAAAGTGCTGGGATTACAGGTGTGAGCCACTGCACCCTGCCAAAGTCACAAGGATTTTAATAGCCCCAAGTGTCCATCTCAACTCCAGTCGTGGCCCTCACACCCACTTGCCTCACCACGCCTCCTCTGAACTGAGTGCAGCTGAGATCACCCTCTGAACACCTGCTCCTCCCCCAGCTGCCCCACCCCAGTCACCCACAGCACCCAAAGCCTTACAGTCGCTGCCGACTCCATCACTGTATCCATCCCTTCAATATGTCTGGCATCCAACGGCTTCTCACTCCTCACCTCTACCGCCTGTGGCGGATTCTATTGCACAAGCCTCCTAGCAGCGTCCCTGCCTCCACCTGACCCTCTGGAGTCATGCTCACCCCAGCACAGGAGTGGCCACAGTCGGCCGGGCAAGGTGGCTCACGCCTGTCATCCCAGGACTTTGGAGGCTAAAGTTGGTGGATCATTTGAGGTCAGGAGTTCAAGATCAACCTGGCCAATATGGTGAAACCCCACCTCTACTAAAAATACAAAAATTAGCTGGGCATGGTGGTGGGTGTCTGTAATCCCAGCTACTAAGGAGGCTGAGGCAGGAGAATCGCTTGAACACCTGAAGGTGGAGGTTGCAGTGAGCCAAGATGGTGTCGCTGCACTCCAGTGCACTCCTGCCTGGGCAACAGAGCAAGACTCTGTCTCAAAAAAAAAAAAAGACTGACTAGAGTCACCTGCTAGATGCACCCCATCTCCCTCAGAGTCCTTTCTCCCCCAACCAGTTCCCTAGCCCCAACCCCTGGGTCCTCATTCTGCTCCAGCCACACTGGCCTCAAGCCATCCAGGCGCCCTCTTGCCTCAGGCCTGGGCCAACACTGCTCTCAGACACCTGTGACTCGCTCCTTGGCCTTTTTCTGTTCATTACTCAAATACCACCTCATCAGCAAGGCCTTCACCAAGCCCTATTTAAAATGGCAAACGCTCCCACTCCCAATCCCCTCTTATTATTTTTTTTAAGATGGAGTTTCTCTCTTGTCACTGAGGCTGGGGTGCAGTGACATCATCTTGGCTCACTAGAACCCCTACCTCCAAGGTTCAAGCGATTCTCCTGCCTCAGCCTAAGTAGCTGGGATTACAGGCATGCGCCACGCCGCCTGGCTAATTTTGTATTTTTAGTAGAGATGGTGTTTCATCATGTTGGTCAGGCTGGTCTCAAACCAGCCTCCCAGAGTGCTATGATTACAGGTGTGAGACCCCACAGCTGGCCTCAATCCCCTTCTCCTTGTTATTTTCCTCCACAGCACTCACCGCCTTCCACCTTCGGACACCCGACACGTCCTAGAGCCCTCTTTGGCTTATCATCTGTCTTTCCACCCTGAACTGTAAGCTTTGCAAGGGCAGGCTTTGTCTGTTTAGTCATTGCTCTGTCTTCAGTACCTCGAACAGCGCCTGGACCACAATCCATGCTCAATAACTGTTAAATAAGTAGCACACCAGGACCACAAAGAGCCCGAATCATTGCTGCTACAGGAACAGCCTTCTGAGCACACTCTCTGTGCCAGGCACTTGGCACAGGGCAAATAAATGTCATCCTAGCTGATCTCACAAGAGCCCATTTATAGAGAGGAGCAAAGTCTGCGCCCAGGCCTGCTCGGGCTCTGCTGCCACAGCTGTCTCTACACAAAGAATGCGGGTGCTGGGGGCACAGGGATACCAGACAGCACGCTCTGGACATCCAAACATCTGATGACTCCATGGGAAGAACCTGGGGGAAGAAGCCTGTCTACTTTCCCAGGGTGGTCTAGCATGACCAGCAGGTCTTGGCATGGGGGCCCCACTGGTGGGCAGTGACATAAGCGGAATGAATGAAGGAAGGTCACCCCCTGCATAGGGAGAGGAGGGGGTTTGTAACCTGCTGCTTACAACACCCGGTAACATCTCCTTCAACCCTCACAGTGGCCCTGTGAGGAAGACAACGCCCTGCCCAAAGAGGAGAGAACAGGGATCTAAGGGCTTCAGGGTGCTGCCCGAGATCACAAAGCTTGAAGCGGTGAAGCCAGGACTGGAACCCAGGCTGTCGGGCTCCAAAGCCAATGCCTCCTCTCCACAGGCACCCTGAGGAAATCCCACTCCCTGAGCAGGAGGTATCTGTAGATCACAGAGCGCACACAGCTGGATCTGGCCTGCAGGTGTTTCGCCCACACATTTAAAATTTGAATTAGCTGCCAAATGTTCAGTCTGGAGCGTGGTTACCTCTGGGTTCTCTTGGAAAAAACAGGTCTGGAGACAATGGAGTGACAGATATGGACACTCCCATTTTCCCCAGGGGCCTCCACTCCCTATTACAGTCTGGCTGATACCGAGCTGTGGTGCCCTCCTTGTTCCACACCTGACTTCCTGGCCATCTTCAGTCACCTCCCCTACAGGTGGAAGATTCTAAGCATCTGTGATCTTTGCAGGGAAGAGAAATGCTTACTAAACACCTACACTGACCTACCAGATACTGTTTCCACACACCCGCTGTGACTTTTTTTTTTTTTTTTTTGAGACGGAGTTTCCCTCTTGTTACCCAGGCTGGAGTGCAATGGCGCGATCTCAGCTCACCGCAACCTCCGCCTCCTGGGTTCAAGCAATTCTCCCGCCTCAGCCTCCAAAGTAGCTGGGACTACAGGCACATGCCACCATGACCAGCTAATTTTTTTCTATTTTTAGTAGAGACGGGGTTTCACCATGTTGACTAGGATGGTCTCGATCTCTTGACCTCGTGATCCACCCACCTCGGCCTCCCAAAGTGCTGGGATTACAGGCTTGAGCCACCGCGCCAGGTCCCCCCTTTTTTTTTTTTAAAGACAGGGTCTCACCGTCACCCAGGCTGGAGTGCAATGGCATGATCTTGGCTCACTGCAACCTCTGCCTCCCAGCATTAAGCGATTCTCCCGCCTCAGCCTCCTAAGCAACTGGGACTATGGGCACGTACCACCACACCTAATTTTTGTATTTTTAGTGAGACAGGGTTTCACCATGTTAGCCAGGCTGGTCTGGATCTCTTGACCTTGTGATCTGCCTGCCTCGGCCTCCCAAAGTACTGGGATTACAGGTGTGAGCCACCACACCCAGCCTTTTTTTTTTTTTTTTTTTTTTTAAAGACAGGGTCTGTCAACCAGGCTGGAGTGCAGTGGTACTGTCATGGGCGTGTGATTCTCCAACCTCAGCCTCTTGAGTAGCTGGGACTACAGACATATGCCACCATGCCCAGTAGTTTTTTGATTTAGAGACAAGGTCTCACTATGTTGCATGGGTTGGTCTTGAACTCCTGGGCTCAAGCGATTCTCTGGCCTCAGCCTCCCAAAGTACTAGGATTCCAGGTACAAGCCACCATGGCTGGCCCCATTTCACATGTCAGCCTCCCAGCCCACAGACCTAGTAAGTAGGTGGTGAAGTCTGCCTCCCTTTGAGCAATGCAGCAGGGCAGTTGGAGGGAATGGTGCCCCCTGCCCCTCCACAAAGATCATGGAGGCATGCTGTGGGAAATGGCCCTCCTGCAACCCTCCTGCCCTACTCAGCACCAGCCTGGTCAGCCCCCCTATGGACACTGAGATCGTCAGCTACCACCAAGCCTGCACCTCCCTCAATCTCACGACTGCCCTGTAGGAAAATGGCTTTTTTTTTGAGACAGAGTCTTACTCTCTTAGGCTGGAGTGTAATGCAGGATCTCGGCTCACTGCAACCTCTGCCTCCCAGGTTCAAGCAATTCTCCCGTCTCAGCCTTCCGAGTAGCTGGAACTACAGGCACCTGCTACCACGCCCAGCTGATTTTTGCATTTTTAGTACAGATAGGGTTTTGCCATGTTGACCAGGCTGGTCTCGAACTTTCGACCTCAGGTCAAAAGTTCCCACCTCAACCTCCCAAAGTGCTTGGGATTACAGCCATGAGCCACTGCGTCTGGCCAGGAAGACGCTTTTATTGTCCCTATTTTATAGATGAGGACACCCATGTTAGAGACACTGAAGGACTTGCCAAGGATACACCTGCTGAGTAGTGGAGTCTAGATGCTGAATCGATTTCTTTTTATTCTTCTGTCGCACTGGCTGGAGTGCAGTGGCACAATCTCGGCTCACTGCAACCTCCACTTCCCAGGTTCAAGCAATTCTCCTGCCTCAGCCTCCTAAGTAGCTGGGATTACAGGCACCTGCCACCATGCCCAGCTAATTTTTTTTTTTGTATTTTTAGTAGAGACGGGGTTTCACCATGTTGGCCAAACTAGATTCAAACTCCTGATCTCAAGTGATCCTCTTGGCCTCCCAAATTGCCCAAGTACTGGGATTACAGGCATGAGCCACCCCACCCGGCCTTTTTTTTTGAAACGAAGTTTTGCTCGTCACCCAGGCTGGAGGGTGTAATGGTGTAATCTTGGCTTCCTGCAACCTCCACCTCCTGGGTTCAAGCGCTGAATCAATGTCTTTTTGAGGTCCCAGCCTGCACACTTCAAGGATCAGCAACAAGAAGTGTCCCCAACAGCCTCCTCCCTCAGGGACAGGCCCAGCAGGAAGCAGGTCTGAAGCAGGCACTCTCCTGCCCCACCCCAGGATGCTTCCCCCGACCTGTGGCCAAGCTCCCACCTTGATCTTCTGTTGATAGATGTTGTCATCTTCAGCATACTCCTTATACAGGACCGAGAGCTCCAGCCGCTCTGACACCAGAGGGTTCTGCACCGCAATCTGGAAGAGGCGGGGATCTGTCACGCTCTGGCGGGGAGATGGAGTGCCCCAGGCCTAATAGCCGGAACGCCCACAAAAGGGCTGGGCTGCTCAGCCAGTGGCACAGTGACCCCCAGAAAAACAGCCAGTACCTAGCACAGCCTGGGGAGGAGGGAGCTTCCCAAGTAGAGACAGACAACAGACCTCAGGCTCAGCCTATGCATTGCCACAGTGGGGCTGCTGGCCACTGCCTCCCTCGCCCGCTGCAGCCCCTCACCTCTTGCTGAATTCGGTCCTGCTGAGCCATGATGGCTTCATCATAGGCCAGACAGTTAACACCTGAGAAAAGGAAAAAAGCAACGATTACAGGTGTCCTGGCCATCTCCACTGCAGGCAGCTGGGTCAGGCACAAGAGCAGCCCAGGGGCAGGACGACAAGCTTAGAATCTGGAAGCAAGCATGTTACATTCTGCCCCACCTCAAATGTGTCATCTTGGCAAAGTCCCTTCCCCATCTGGGCTTTCATTTCCTCATATTTAAAAAGAAGGCGCAGAGGTGCACCGTGGTACCCCTAAGGTGCGCTCTTCCAGCTCTGACACCCGCTTCCTCGGGTTAACATCACTTCCCAGCAGCCTGGGAATGTTCTGGGGCCAGGCGGGGTCTCCTGGGAAAAGTAAGATGAGGAGGCAGAATCCTGGGGTGGAGGAGAGCTTCCTGTGAGCCTGCACTTTGCTCCATCACCCCTTCATCCTCTTGCCTCCTGGATATTGTTAATAGTGCCCATTTTACAATTAACAAAACAAGTGCAAAGAAAGCAATCTGCCCAAGGTCGTAACTAGCAAAGACATGTGGTCAAACCCAGGTTTGTCTAATTCCAGGCTGAGCTCTTCAGCACAATACCTCTCCCTGGCTACTTCACAGTGGAGACTGTAAAATGGGGTGAATACCCCCGCCTTTCTTAGAGGCATACCAGTATGTGCTCTAGGATCATCAGCCAGCTGGGCAGGTCCACCCGGAGTTGAGGAGCCAGGAGACCTGAATTTTAGTCCTGACTCTCTCTTAATGTGATCTTGAACAAGTCCCTTCTGGGCCCGTTTTCCCATTTCTCATTCCCTCAAAGTGTTCGGTGAGAATGAGGTGCGTGTACTGAATGACTTTTAAGGTCAACCCTTTTGGGGCTCGCCATCCCAGATTCTCGGCTGGGCGTCGACGTGCCCTTTTTGCACTACTCAGCGAAAGAGGTGTCCCTGCCACCCAAGTGACCTACGTGGTCCCCAGGGCCCAACTCATAGGCGGGAAAAGACAGAGTGGGGTCATTTTTGAAAAGCCCATCTTCTCAAGAGACTAACAATGCCTAGGCAGGCGGAAAGGGGCTGCAAGGCCAGAAAAGGAGGCTTACCGGAAAAAGTCGCAGGCCTCAGGGACAGACCCCGCAGCCCCTCACATCCCAGGGCCGCCTGCGACATCCCGAACGGCACGCCCGAACCTTTGTGCTCCGGAACCCAGCGAAACCCGAGGCCCTCACGGCGCGGGCTGCGGTGGAGCAGCCAAGGGGGCCCAGCCCTGACCTAGGCCTCGGCCTAAATGCAAGGACTGGGGCGGGAGGGCTCAGCGCCCCTGAAGCCTGGAGCCAAGGGGCCGGGCGGAGGGCGGGGCAGCCCAGGCCCCGCCCCGGGCGCGCACGCTGTAGAAGGGCATCGGGCCTCGGCCCGCCTCGCCTGTCCTCCCTCCCGGCCGGGGGTCGCGGCGGTGGCTCCTTCCATTGTGAGGGGGAGGGGAGGCAGCGGAGGTGGAGGAAGGGACCCCCGCGCACTTCGACCCCACCGCCGGAGGCCCTGCCTCTCCTCTCTCATCGGTAGCAGCTGGCCCGGCATCGCCCCCACTAGCCCGGGCCGGACATCCCTCCTTGGATCTGTACCTTCGGAGTCGCTGCCCAGCGGCTCCTGCTTCTGCTGCTGAGGTTCCTCCGCCGCCATCTTTAAACAGCGCCGCACTGCCGACCGCTTCCGGGTTGCCAATTGCCCTCCTCCAGGAAGTGAGCCCCTCCTCGTGGCCCCGCCTCGGCAACGGCCCTAGCAACGGGGTTCTCTTAGGCGTTGTCAACGAAAGGGCTCCCAGTCAAGTGGCAGTTGCTGCCACGCTAGGCCCGCGGACCTGAGACCCCTAGAAGAGGCCGGCCGACCCCGGTCCGCAACTCCATCCCACACACTGGTTTGGCTCCATCTTCTCAGCCTCCCGAGGTTCCAGGTGGTGATTTCAAAGCCTCCTAGAGCGAATTCCATTTTCTTTTCAATGGAGTTTGAAACGCGGATTGTGTTATTGAAAGAAGTAGAAAGGTGAAATTAAAATCACCGAAGGCAGCATTCCTGCTGCGGGCTTCCGCACGCACTGCATGCGACCGTAGCTGCAGTGCAGAGCAGCATCTGGCCCAGGAGACAGGAAGTCGGCCAGCGCCGGGGCGCCGGCGTAGCCCCACATCGCGGCCCCACCTAGCCTGCCGTTCTCCGCAGGCTTTGGTAAGCTGCTTCCGGCAGGGAGAATGCGTCCCTTGGTGTCAAGCCAAAGCCTGGGACCTAACTTTGAGCTCTGTGTCCTTCTGGTTGTGACAAAGCAGGGCCTCTAAAAAAAGAAGGAAAGAAGAAGAAAGAAGAAAGGGTCTTGCTATGTTGCCCAGGGTAGTCTCGAACTTCTGGACACAAGCGATCTTCCGGCCCTGCCTGAAGAGTAGCTGAGACTCCAGCCGCCAGCCACCACGCCCGGCTAAAGCAGGGTCTTTATAAAAGCAAAGACTTAACAAAAAAGGAAAATAAAGGTTACAGGAGTTAAGCAGAGGTGCTGGAGGGAAGTGAGTGTGGCTGTGAAAGGAAAAGTCTGGATTCTTGTGAAGGTGGAAATGTGCAATACCCTAACTGTATCAACATTCTGGTGTATGCTTTACTACAGTTTTGCGAGATGTTGGTGTGGGCAGGGGAGATTGAGTAAAGGATACATGGAATCTTGATAATTTCTTTAAGTTGCCTGTGAATTATCTAAAAATTAAGTTTAATTTTTTTTTTTTTTTTTTTGAGACAGAGTCTTGCTCTGTCGCCAGGCTGGAGTGCAGCTCACTGCAACCTCCACCTCCTAGGTTCAAGCAATTCTCCTGCCTCAGCCTCCAGAGTAGCTGGGACTACAGGTGCGCACCAACACAGTGGGCTAATTTTTTGTATTTTAGTAGAGACGGGGTTTCACCATGTTGGCCAGGCTGGTCTTGAACTCCTGACCTTGTGATCTGCCTGCCTCGGCCTCCCAAAGTGCTGGGATTATAGTCGTGAGCCATTGCACCCAGCCAAGTTTAATTTTTTAAATGGCAAATATTAGAAACAAATGCTTGTTCCTCAGTGCTGAAAGAAGAACTAGAGCTCAGACAAGGAATTTTCTCAGCAAGGCTATTTACTTCTGGAGAAGGGTGTGTCTCACAGATGGAGCAGTGGTGAGAGCACACCTGAACAGGGGAAGGAAAGGGGTTCTCATCCCTGAGGCAGGTATCCCTTCTTCTGTGTCATTCCCCTATTGGCTAGGGTTCGACCACACACTCTAAGCTAATTCCCATTGGCTATTTTAAAGAGAGCAGGGGTATGAGCCAGAGTAGCAGAGCAAGCAGTTTGGTGGGAAGGACGGTTACAGAACAGGTAACTAAAGGTGACTCAGATCAGGTGACCAGGATGAGTCAGGACAGAGCAGGTGACCAGGGGAACAGATGTGAACTGATTAGAACTGTCAGGAAAGTTGTTTACTGAAACTAGAGGCAAGGGGGCAAAGAGAAACCAGGAAGTTAAACTTTAAAATGGGGGACAAAGAATAAGAGAACTGAACATATTGACATACTGATTTTTTTAGGAGAAACTTGGGGCTCACTGTATTTAACAGCAAAAATGGCTGTGTGTGGTGGGTTATGCCTGTAATCCCAGCATTTTGGGAGGCCAAGGTGAGAGAAATACTCAAGCTCAGGCATTGCTGGAGAACAGCCTGGGCAACATAGGGAGACCCACCCCCGCATCCCTGCAAAAAACATTTAAAAAAAATTATCCAGGTGTGGTAGCATGCACCTGTGGTCCCAGCTACTTGACAGGCAGAGGTGGAGGATAACCTGAGCTCGAGAGGTAGAGGCTGCAGTGAGCCATGTTGGCACCACTGCACTCCAGCCTGGATGACCCTTTGAGACACAGCAAGACCCTGTCTCAAAAAAAAAGCAAGGCCAGAGATGCCGAAGCTGCTGCATCAGAAAGAGGTCACAGTCTGCGGCTCAGGTTCCTGACTTTTTACTGTCTAGGGTTCTTTTTATGACCATCATCCTTTAGCACTCAAGGAGGCTGCCTCCGTCAGTCCCAATCAGCCTCATTGGGTCCTGCAAGGACAGGAGTGGAGTATGACTGAATGGTTTCATTAGGTGGCGCCAGTCCTGGAGTAGGTGTAGTGGGTACCTGGGTTCACCACACTCAGCTCACATTGGCCTTCTCACAGCAAGTCTACAAATGCCACATCTTACACATTACACAGCAACATTACACATTACTACTTATTGGGTCATTAGACCTTTGGGATTGCTTCCAAACTCAAGAAAACAAAAGGTCCACCCTACATGGACCCCATGCCTATCAAACTGTTCATTCCTTTTCTCCTTGTGAACCATGAAATTCGTAACCACCAGTCAGACCCACAGCCAGCCGGAGAGAACAGGTACCAAATGAAGGGCAAAGATTTTGAGAACAGAGATATTTCTATTTGGCTTTTTAAAATCTTCAAAATAGCTATAAGACAACTCTACCCCTTCTCCCCTTACCGGGACTAGGGGGTACATGCAGCAGAGCTGGGGTAGGGACTAATGTCACGACAGGGAAGGGCTGCTCTGGAAAGTGGAAGGAACTCCCTGTGGTGGCTCAGTGCTGGCCTGCAGCCAGGCTGCCAGTGCCAAGCAAATGCCTCCTCCCATTCAAGGCTGTGGTGTGTGTGTGTGTGTGTGTTTTTTATAGAGACGGGGTTTCACCATGTTGGCCAGGATGGTCTCCATCTCTTGACCTCGTGATCCACCCATCTCGGCCTCCCAAAGTGCTGGGATTACAGACGTGAGCCACTGAGCCCGGCCGTGTTCTTTTTTTTTTTTTTTTTTTGAGACAGAGCCTCACTCCGTCTCCAGACTGGAGTGCAGTGGTGCCATCTTGGATCACTGTAACCTCCAACCCCCAGGTTCAAGCAATTCTCCTGCCTCAGCTTCCCCAATAGCTGGGATCACAGGCATGAACGACCACACCCAGCTAATTTTAATTTTTATATTTTTGGTAGAGATGAGGTTTCACCATGCTGGCTAGGCTGGTCTGGTACTCCTGTCCTCAAGTGATCCGCCCACCTCGGCCTCCCAAAGTGCTGGGATTACAGGCGTGAGCCACGCACCTGGCCAAGGCTGTGGGTCTTGAAGAACAGACTTGTACTCTGCATGTCCAAAGGGCCTGTAAGTGAGAGCGCCCTCTCGCAGCTGGGGTCCAGCCCTGCCAGAAGCAGAAGAACACAGCCCAAGTCTCCTAAGCCTTCCCTTCCTTGTCCAGCAGAATGGGGAGGAAATGGCCAGAGGGAAGCTTTAGCTCTTAGTCCAGCCCCATGATGGTCAACTTTTGCCCAGCTGTTTTTTTTTTTTTTTGAGATGGAGTTTTGGCCGGGCACGGTGGCTCTCGCCTGTAATCCTAGCACTTTGGGAGGCCGAGGTGGGTGGATCACCTGAGGTCAGGAGTTCAAGACCAGCCTGGCCATCACGGTGAAACCCCATCTTTAAAAAAAAAATAACTTTTTTTTAATATAAAAAAAGAAAATAAAAGAGATGGAGTTTTGCTCTTGTTGCCCAGGCTAGAGTGTAGTGGTACAATCTCAGCTCACCGAAACCTCTGCCTCCCAGGCTTAAGCAATTCTCCTGCCTCAGCCTCCCAAGTAGCTGGGACTACAGGCATGAACCACCATGCCTGGCTAATTTTGTCTTTTTAGTAGAGACGGGGTTTCTCCATATTGGTCAGGCTGGTCTCAAACTCCTGACCTCAAGTGATCTGCGCCCCCCCCCACCCCACACCGCCTCCCAAAGTGCTGCGATTACAGGCATGAGCCACCACACCCAGCTCTTTTCAGTGATGGTTTATTTGTGGTTAATAACTGTTCTCTTGGCCAGGCACATGAACCTTGCATTGTCCTCATGAGAGTCCCCAGGCAGCAGCCCTGAAATCATGGTCTAGGGAGGCTTTGACGGCAGCAAAGGCCAGGCTGATGGGCGGAATGAGTCACCTGCAGCATTCAGACCACCTGTTGGGAATCGCGAGGCGGCTGGCTGCATTGTGTGTGAGTGCGTTCATTCATCCAGTCTTAAGTCAGGGTCTGCAGGACAGACCTCCACAGGTGGTGATCAACATCTCACCACCTAAGGCAGAAAGCAGGCAGAGGGGCAGAGGCGATGCAGGCAGAGCCCCTCTCAAGCAACTCACACTGCCCCAGTCCTTGCAGCGTACCCACTATAAATGCCATAGATTCGTTTCACCTTATGCCCAAAGAGGGCCTGTCAGCTGGTACCCACCCCTCCCGAGGGTCTCACAGCATCACGTGATGCATGACTTGCCTCATTGCTTCCGTAACAAGTCACCACAAACCTAGTGGCTGAAAACAACATAAATTTATTCTCTTACAGTTTGGAGGTCAGAAGCCTGGGTTTCACCAGACTAAAGTCGAGGTGTCTGCAGGCTGCATTTCTTTCTGGAGGCTCTAAAGAAGAATCCACTTCTTACTCATCCAGGTTGGCAGAAGGTAGGACCAAGGTTCCTATGTTCTTGCTGGCTGTAAATGGAGGGCTGTTCCCAGCTTCCAGAGGTCCCTGAAGTCCTTGGCTCATGGCCCACTTTCTCTGCCCTCAAAGCCAGCACGGGAGGCCAACTGCTTCTCAGGCAGGGCTTGTGACAACATCGGGCTCACCTGGGTCTCCAAGGACAGCCTGGGATTTCAAGGTCTTCAACCTTATTCCCATTTACAAAGCCCCCTGCTATGTAAGATGACATATTCACCAGTCCAAGGAATAGGTCATGGACATTTTTGGGGGGCCGTTATTCTGCCTGCCACAGTATCTTCATTTTATAAAACTGAGGTTCAGAGACCAGATGACTTGCCCAAGGTCGTACAGTTTAGCAACCAGGCCAGGCCTCAAGCCCAAGCCTCCCCACTCTCGGACCACCATTCCTGACATCCCAGCACCTGCCGGGACTGTAGCCTCTCCAGCCAGTGTGCACAGCAGGCACAGATCCCCACACACGTGGACACAGAAAATGTTTGGGGTACAAGGATCCTTGCTTTCTCTACAGGGAATTGCTCCAGGGCCCTGACTTGGTCGGGGGTAAGGGCAGACCAGTGAAAGCTGACCAGATTTCAGACCTAATGGCCACCGAGGAGACCAAGGAGTTTAGGGTTCAAACATGACAGGTCACTCTAACTCTACACTCTCCTGCCCACCCTTATGCATATCACCCCATCCATCCCCACAAATGCTGCAGGACGTGGCAGGCTGTGGGAGGAAGAGGCTTGAGGAACAGTGGGGTTTGCTTGGGGCTTCTTCAGACCAGGGTCCTGAGGAATCGCCTGTGGCCCCTGGTGTTGCACAGGGTGGAGCAGTGGCTCAATACATCAAACTGTGGGCTGGAGCAGTCCCCTGGGAAGGGGACCATCACCTATCATTTAATTCCAGGGGCACAAAAAATGGAAGACACCCAAGCAAACCCTCAGCAGGGCAGTGGAGTCACCATAAAAACTCAAGACAACCAGCTGGGCGCAGTGGCTCACACCTGTAATCCCAGCACTTTGGGAGGTCCAGGCAGGAGGATCACCTGAGGTCAGGAGCTGGAGGCCAGCCTGGCCAACATGGTGAAACCCTGTCTCTACTAAAAACATAAAAATTAGCCGGGTGTGGTGGTGGGCACCTATGGTCCCAGCTACTTGGGAGGCTAAGGCAGGAGAATCACTTGGACCTCGGAGGCAGAGGCTGTAGTGAGCTGAGATCGCAACACTGCACTCCAGCCTGGGCAACAGAGCAAAACTGTCTCAAAAAAAAGAGAAGGCCAGGCGCAGTGGCTCACACCTGCAATCCTAGCACTTTGGGAGGCCAAGGCGGGTGGATCACGAGGTCAAGAGATCGGGACTATCCTGGTCAACATGGTGAAACCCTGTCTCTACTAAAAATACAAAAATTAGCTGGGTGTGGTGGCAGACGCCTGTAGTCCCAGCTACTAGGGAGGCTGAGGCAGGAGAATTGCTTGAACCCGGGAGGCAGAGGTTGCAGTGGGCCGAGATCGCACCACTGCACTCCAGCCTGGGTAACAAGAGCGAAACTCAGTCTCAAAAAAAAAAAGAGAAGAAACTCAAGACAATGCTTCTTTTCCAGTGCCATGTACTTGCTCTGTGCAGAGCCATGGCTATGAGACCAGCGCTTCATCTGCTCCCACAGCCGGAGGAAAGCAGCCCTGGGCCAACCAAGGGCTAGGCCATTCAGGCCCTTACTCAGGAAGTGCAGGCTCGGTGGGAATGGCCTGGCCTCCCACACTGCAGCTCCAAGCTGTGCTTGGTCCCAGCTGGGCCAGAAGACGGTCCTGACAGGCAGGGGGCGTCAGGTCCCACCTCCACCCAGGGACTAACATTAAGCAGAAAAGCATCCTAGAACAGGCACAGAACAAGGGGTGGTCCTGCTGTGTAGGAGACAGCATTGAGGCCCCTCCATCCAGAGACAAGAGAGCTGTTGAGGTGCCTGTATGTGGCAGGTGGATTATCCTAGGTCAGCACCCCATCCAGGCTCCAGATCCAACGCAGGCTCGCCCCTCCTCAGCCAATGCTCCCACCGGGCACAGCTGCAGCATTCCGAGTACCATTGCAGGCAACCGGCTCAATGGTAGCTTCTCCCTGGCCCTCCAACCAGGCCCCATCCCTTCAGTCTCAGACACAAAGTCCAGCTTGTATGGAAGGAAAGGAGCCACCCAGGAGGCAGAGGACAGTTTCCTACTGCTCAGAGAAACAGCTATGGCAGGAACTGAACCCACTACTGAATCCAGGCCTTGGGCCCCACAGGGTTCCCTAGACATCATGCAGAAAGGCCAAACAAGACCACACTAAGGCAGGAGAGTCGGGTCCCCTCTCAGCAATGTCAACATCAATCAGGGAACAGCCTGCAGAAGAGGAGCTGGGAAAACGTGTGTTCTGACACCCAGGGCCTGAGGCCAACCACAGCCCTCAGCTCTCACCTGACATCTTTGCCCACTGTTCCAGACACAGGCATCCTGGCAGCCTCAGCTCCACAGGGGACACTGAACCTGTGTCTGTTCAGAGATCAGTCAAGTCACCCCAGCAAAGAAGATGCAAACGAGAGGTAAAGCCATGTCTTCCTGGAGGGTGCAACGCAGCAGGCCTGAGTGTTCCTTCCACAGTGATCAGCACTCCAGCTCAGCAGCCTTTCAAAACATCGTCCCTGCTGAGGCACTACCTGCCCCTCATAACCAGGAGAAAGGATTGCTGAGGAAGGACTCCTGGGGACAGAGGAATGGCAGATTCCACAAGTCAAACAGAGGAAAAAAGGGAAGCTGGCCTATAGAACAAAGACCAGTTAGTCCATAGCCATGTATGGAGAGTGCTAGAAGGAAAGGGGCCCTAGAATTGACATTTAAAAAGCAAGCAGCGGCCGGGCACGGTGGCTGACGCCTATAATCCCAGCACTTTGGGAGGCCGAGGCGGGTGGATCACGAGGTCAAAAGATCGAGACCATCCTGGTCAACAAGGTGAAACCCCGTCTCTACTAAAAATACAAAGTTAGCTGGGCATGGTGGTGCACGCCTGTAGTCCCAGCTACTCGGGAGGCTGAGGCAGAATTGCTTGAACCCAGGAGACGGAGGTTGCGGTGAGCTGAGATCATGCCATTGCACTCCAGTCTGGGTAACAACAACAAAACTCCGTCTCAAATTAAAAAAAAAAAAAAAAAAAGGCAAGCAGCAGCTAGGCATGGTGGCTCACGCCTGTAATTCCAGCACTTTGGGAGGCCAAGGCAGGTGGATCATAAGGTCAGGAGATCGAGACCATCCTGGTTAACACAGTGAAACCCTGTCTACTAAAATACAAACAATCATCTGGGTATGGTGGCACGTGCCTGTAGTCCCAGCTACTCAGGAGGCTGGGGCAATAGAATCACTTGAACCAGGAGGCGGAGGTCGCAGTGAGCTGAGATCCAGCCACTGTACTCCAGCCTAGTGACAGAGCGAGACTCCAATTCAAAAAGAAAAAAAAATTAGCTGGTGTGTCACACACCTGTAGTCCTAGCTACATGGGAGGCTGAGGCAGAATTGCTTGAAGCTGGGAGGCAGAGGTTGCAGTCAGCCAAGATCACATCACTGCACTCCAGCCTGACCAACAGAGTAAGACTCCGTCTCAAAGGCAAAGTTCTGCAAAGTCCCTACCCCTAATTAGGAAGGGCACCAGCACCCAAGAAATGGAGTCCACCAAAAAGGAAGACCAGGGCAGGCTGGAAGGCTGGCCCCTTAGAGGAGAGGCTGAAGACCCAGCCCTAACAGGACAGATACACAGACACACACACACACACCCACTGGGCTTTTGCACAAACAAGGGAGCTGGAGGGGATGAGCCACAAAAGCTGCCCAGTGACAACAGGCTTTGTCTTCCCAGGAAGTCAGGCACCATTTAAAGGCACAGAAGCACACGAGGAGTCCGGCTGAGGCACACACAACACAGGGCAGCCAGCTGGGTGCTCTTCCCCACATCCCCACCAGTGCCAGTGGAGGCATGAGCTCAGGCAGGAGGGAAGGCACCATGAATTTCTGAAGTAAGGTTTAAATAGATTTTATTGTTACAACGGGGACCCCACCAAGCAGGGTCAATATTTGTGGTCCTAGGAGGTCACCATGGAGACATCGAGAGGTCATAATCGCATAAGAGGTGACTGGAATTGAACGACATGATCCAGGGGAGGCCAGCCAGGAATGCAGGAACGTGACCAGGATGGGCTGGTGGGGCTGGTCAGGTCACGGTGTGAGGACCAGAACGGCCCCCTTCACCCCCGCTTCTTGTAGCTCTCCAGGTGTGACAGGATCCAGCCTGCAGGCAGGAGGAAGGTCACCATGCAGGAGGTAAGCCCAATGGCCAATTCCTACACAGAGCACAAGAAAGAAGGCACCTCAGAGTCAGGATTCTCCTCAGCTCTCTTAAGTCCTATCAGTTACCAGGCAGCAGAAAGCCCCCCTCGGGGAGCCAGGACTCAGAGGCAAATGGGACCCGGCATCCTCACATTAAAGGAATCCAGGCTGGAGGGAGCAGACAGAGCAGATCCAAGGCCACACTAACCCTTGAGCCCTTGAGGTAAAGGATCAGTTATAAGGAGGGGGAGGATTGAGAGGAAGGAGAGACAGCCAGGGTCAGGGTCCAGGGAGAAATCCACCACCAGATCATAAAGGAAAGGACAGGAAGCAGGATTCACTGAAGCCTGTTTTATAAATGGAATTGGGCAGAAGAAAAAAGAAAAAAATATATACAAAACAAAAAAAAAGAAACCTGTTTTAAAGCTGGTCTGGGCCAGGCACAGTGGCTCATGCCTGTAATCCAAGCATTTTGGGAGGCTGAGGCAGGCGGATCACGAGGTCAGGAGTTAGAGACCAGCCTGGCCAACATGGTGAAACCCCGCCTCTACTAAAAATACAAAAAAGGGGCCAGGTGTGGTGGCTCACGCCCGTATTCCCAGGACTTTGGGATGCCGAGATGGGCAGATCACCTGAGGTCAGGAATTCGAGACCAGCCTGACCAACATGGAAAAACCCCACCTCTACAGAAAAAAAAAAATACAAAAAAGGCTGGATGTGGTAGCTCATGTTTGTAATCCCAGCACTGTGGGAGGCCAAAACGGGTGGATCATAAGGTCAAAAGTTTGAGACCAGCCTGACAAACATGGTGAAACCCCATCTCTACTAAAAGACAAAAATTAGCCAGGCATGGTGGTGGGCACCTATAATCTCAGCTACTGGGGAGGCTGAAGCAGGAGAATCGCTTGAACCCAGGAGGCAGAGGTTGCAGTGAGCCAAAATTGAGCCACTGTACTCCAGCCTAGGTGACAGAGTGAGACTCCATCTCAAAAATATATATATACAAACAATTAGTGGGGAGTGGTGACAGGAGCCTGTAGTCCCAGCTACCGGAGAGGCTGAGGCAGGAGAATTGCCTGAACCCGGGAGGTAGAGGTTGCAGTGAGCTGATATCGTGCCACTGCATTCCAGCCTGGGTGACAGATCTGCACTCCATCTCAAACAAAAACAAAAACAAAGCTGGTCTGTTGAGACCCAGGATCCTTGCATTGGCCAGTAACTAAAACTATACCTATCCTTCTTTGTCTTAAAACCCCCTCCCTTCCAGCTGGGTGTGGTGGCTCAAGCCTGTAATCCAAGCGCTTTGCAGGCCAAGGCAGGCAGATCACCTGAGGTCGGGAGTTCAAGACCAGCCTGACCAACATGGTGAAACCCCATTTTTATAAAAAAATAAAAATAAAATTTTTTTTAAAAGCCCTCCCTTCCCACCTCCTCTCCAAGACCTGGAGGCTAGGGGTAAAAGACCTTTTCAGCCACTGCCATCGTCTCAAAAGTAATTAGGTCCACAGAACAACTTGCAGTCAGCCTTGAGTTCAAATTCCATCTTTGGGGCAGGGAGGCTCACATCTGTAATCCTAGCACTTTAGGAGGCTGAGGCAGGAGATCACTTGAGCTCAGGAGTTCAAGACCAGCCTGGGCCATGTAGTGAGACCCTGTCTCAACAAAACATCAAAAACTAGCCTGGTATGGTGGCATGTCCCTGTAGTCCCAGCTGCTTGGGAGGCTGAGGTGGGAGGATTCCTTGAGCCCAGGAAGTTGAGGCTGCAGTGAGCCATGATCGCACCCACAGTACTCCAGCTTGGGTGATAAAATCCTTTGCCACTGAAGGTGTAACTTTTTTTTTTTTTTTTTGAGACAGAGTCTCCCTCTATTGCTGAGGCTGGAGTGCAGTGGTGCAATCTCAGCTCACTGCAACCTCCACCTTCCGGGTTCAAGCAATTCTCCTGCCTCAGCCTCCTGAGTAGCTGGGACTACAGTCACACGCCACCATGCCCGGCTAGTTTTAGGGTTATTTAGTAGAGACGGGGTTTCACCATATTGGCCAGGCTGGTCTCAAACTCTCGACTTCATGAACTACCCACCTCAGCCTCCCAAAGTGCTGGGATTTCAGGTGTGAGCCACCACACCTGACTGAAAGTTACTTCTGACAAATCAACACACTGCTCCTATGTTTCAGCACCTTCAAACACAAAACGCGGCTGGGCATGGTGGCTCACGCCTATAATCCCAGCACTTCGGGAGGCTGAGGCGGGTGGATCATGAGGTCAAGAGATCGAGATCATCCTGGTCAACATGGTGAAACCCTAACTCTACTTAAAATACAAAAATAAGCTGGGCATGGTAGCGTGCGCCTGTAGTCCCAGCTACTCGGGAGGCTGAGGCAGGAGAATTGTTTGAACCCAGGAGGCGGAGGTTGTGGTGAGCCGAGATCACACCATTGCACTCCAGCCTGGGTAACAAGAGCGAAACTCCGTCTCAAAAAAAAAAACACAAAAAATGCAAATAAATCATGCTTTCTTCTCAGGGTCACTGGAAGGACTGAATCAGACCAGCACAGCATCTGGCACACGGCAGGCGATGTGTATGGGTGCAGTTTCTATCAGAGGAGATGTGGCGTGTTCCGGGTGCTATGGCCATACACTCCTTATCATCACTGATGTTTCTTTAGCTGCAGTGCCCTCCTGGCTCTGCTCCTCACACTCAAGGCCCACTAACCTGGATTCTGAGGGCTGGCATTTAATGCCTGGCTCCACCGCCTGAGGCAAAGGCACAGAAGCTGAAAGAGGTGAAAGATGCCCTAAAGAGCTAAACACCCCCACATTTCTGGGAATTCGAAAGCCTGTTGGGGTCTTCTTTCCCCGTCTCTAATGATAATAAATAGCAGGGCTGGGCACGGTGGCTCACACCTGTAATCCCAGCACTTTGGGAGGTCGAGGAGGGAGAATCACTTGGAAGTCATGAGTTCGAGACCAGCCTGGCCGACATGGTGAAACCTCGTCTCTACTAATAATAAAAAATTAATTGGCTGTGGTGGCACGGGCCCGTACGGGAATCTGACGCAGGAGAATCGCTTGAACCCGGGAGCCGGAGGTTGCAGTGAGCCGAGACGGCGCCATTGCTCTCCAGCCAAGAAGCAGAGCAAGACTCAGCCTCAAAAAACGTGAATTAAATGGCAGTAACGACCATTATCGTCGCTGACGGTCGTCAGGCATCCCCCAGTGAACCGATGAGAAAATGGGCTCAGAGAGGGCTAAAGAAGTCTGCTCCAGGCGGCGCAGCGAGAAAGCGACAGGGGAGGGAGGACCTGACGGGGCCTGACTCGAGATGGTGAGGCTCTGGGGAAAGACCTAACGCCGATAGTCCCTACTGTCACCCGGGCACTGTCCCCGTCGTCCGCGCCCTTCAGACACGCCCAAACCGGCAATGCTGCTCCCCGTTACGCGGCTGGCCGCGGGGTGCGGGGCACTCTCAGGGCCGCCTGAGCTCAGCGCCGCAGAAGGGGCCAGCCCACGACGCCTCCCGTGCTCTTCCCGGCCCGTTCCTCACCAGGACCCCAAGCTTCTGCTCCGGAGGCATCGAATGGACCTGGGCGCGCGGCACCGGAAGCCGCCGGGCCGAGCCTGTCAGGCCCCGCAGCAGCAGCGGTGTCAGGACGGACATGATGGTACGGAGTACACCACGGACAGCCACCGGCGGGAGCCCAAGGTCAGGAAGGCAAGATGGCTGCGCCGGCCGGAAGTTCCGGAGCTGGGGAGGCCGGGAAGTCTCGGCAATAACGCAAGAACACATCTCCCACCACCCTCGGTAGTTTTTGGAGCGTTGCTCGAAGCAGCCAATTGACACCTTCCTCCCGCTATGGGCGGAGCACAAAGGGGCGTTTCTTTTGGTTATGTTCCTCCTCCAAAGCCTATATTTGTGAGTGACATCTGGAGCCACCCAATGATGTACGCGAGAAGCCTAACTGTTCTCGACTCCTCCCTCCATTCATACTCTTAGATTTCTATTCAGGCCGGACACGGTGGCTCATCCCTGTAATCTCAGCACTTTGGGAGGCCGAGGCGGGTGGATCACCTGAGGTGGAGAGTTCGAGACCAGCCTGGCCAACGTGATGAAACCCACATCTCTACTAAAAATACAAAAATTAGCTGAGTGTGGTGGCTGGTGCCTGTAATTCTAGGAACTCAGGAGGCTGAGGCCGGAGAATTGCTTGAACCCAGGAGATGGAGGTTGCAGTGAGCTGAGATTGTACCATTGCACTCCAGCCTGGGTGACAGAGCGAGACTCTGTCTCAAAAAAAAAAAAAAAAAGAGTTCAAGACCAGCCTGGCCAACATGGTGAAACCCGTCTCTACCAAGAATGCAAAAATTAGCCGGGCATGGTGGCAGGCACCTGTAATCTCAGCTATTCAGGAGGCTGAGCCTGGAGAACTGCTTGAACCTGGGAGGCGGAGGTTGCAGTAAGCTGAGATTGTGCCACTGCACTCTGGCCTGGGCAACAAAGCAATACTCCCTCTGGAGGAAAAAATAATAATTATCCAGGCATGGTGGTGGGTGCCTGTAATCCCAGCTACTCGGGAGGCTGAGGCAAGAGAATCACTTGAACCCAGGTTGCAGTGAACCAAGACTGTGCCACTGCACTCCAGCCTGGGTGACAGAGCGAGACTCCATCTCAAAAAAATAAAATCTCTATTCAGAGTTCCTTCGTCTCTGTCAGGCCTCCTTCATTTCTGCACAGAATTCTTGACACTGACATAGTAACCAAACTCCCCTCAATTACTATTACACTCTTCAATTGCAGTTACCATGCTGGGGCAGCCAACTT